AATTTGAAAATAAAGTAAAAAATAATCTAGGCTCACTATGTTCAATGAGGCCGAAGTCTCATTTTTGTTTTTCTTATGGGCGCCTAACTTTTACTAACAAAAAATGTCTGGCTCCTCTGCTATTGATGGTCAAAGTTCTTCAAACCCATCCAATTTCAAACAATAATTACAAGTTAGACACCATTTAAATAATGCCATTACTGTTACTTTAATTTTACCCATTAATAATGTCATTACTTACCAATTTTTTATACCAAGTATAAATACTTGGTATAAAAAAGGCTTAGAGTTGAATAACATAATCAAACTGTTCGACCTCTATACATATGTAGATAAAAATGGGTAATGAAAAATAACAACTCTCTTAACTTGGATAAATTTATTTTTATTTTAACTTTCTGATAAAAATCTTTTTTTGGGTCATGGAAAAATATAGCAATTAAAAATATCACAATGAAAATCTTAGAACGATTTCTTAAAAAAAAAACTCTTGCTTTCAGGACTTTACTTAGAGATGGCTAAACAAGCTACATATGTTTTTCACAAATGAGACACAAATGAGATACAACGTGTTATCTGTGTGAAGAGTATATCGATGTAACTGCTCTAAGTATATCCTTAAAGACCAGAGTTAACTACTCTTTTTCATCAGTCTATTCATAACAAATTAAGACCAGAAAATTGACATATCACATTTTGCAATATAAATGTATTTTCGAGATTTCGGTTTGGTTAACAGAAGAAAAACATGGGTTTTAGTTTCATTCTTGGGACTTCAGTTTGTAATTGTTTTCTTAGTAATATTACTGTTAAATATAACCAACTTTGAATGATAATCGATGTAAAACATAATAGAGAAACGTTCTTTAAAGGAACATATAAAGCCAAAACGTTTCTGAAATATGGAATTTTTGTTAAGTTTGTTCGGTTAAATTGGGAAAAATACTGGTAAGCAACTAGAATCTGTAAGGCTAATAAAAAGTGAACGTGAATTAAACTACTTATCAGGCAAATAATAGACTTTAAAGTCGCTTATTTTCGAAAATATTGTATCCCAAGAAAAAACAATGAAACGGATAGATATGAGATAAGTATGAAACTGAATCAGTTTTATGAACATAACAATATTTTGTTATTATTAATACGTATAAGAATGATAAACATTCCAAAGTGAAATGGTACCGTCTGCGCCACCTGAAACAAACACAAATCAATTAAAAAACGGCAGGGTTTTAAATATTGAACATATACCTGTTGCAAAAATTTTTGAGTCCCAATATCGTACGATGTTAGGGGAAAACTGGATGTCAGATATTTGCCTCTTGTGCTGTGTTAAGATTGCCAGGGCTCTAAGCGTTCGCCACGAATAAACTCTGCAAATTACAAATTATATTTACATTATCAAATAACATTAGGATTTACAAATACTATACCGGGTTGGGCAAACGCCTTTACAATGTGCATTATTGGAAACTTAAGCGAAAGTCTGTTCAATCAGGATGAAAAATTTTCTAATCAATAGTTAATAACCTAAGAAGCATGCTGAGAGGTTACAACTTGAAATTAAAAGTTTAAGGTATTTCACACCTTTCAGCGAAATACCTTGACTGAAAATTGTATAAAATCAGAACATTAAGTTTATTCGTATGTGCAATGGTTTCATTTTCACTTATTATACTAAATCAGCAAATGTATTGAATGTTGTTTCAACATCAGTTAATTTGCATTAACAACGATGTTTTACTATAATTGGAGATACTTCTTCTAGGGTAATTGAACATTGTTAGCTACTTTAAGAGTCGAAATCGGTGTCAGAAACAAGAAAAACAAAAAAGTATAAACAAACATCAGTGGTTTATAAATTTTCCGATAACTTTTCATAAATTTCCTATATTGATTGTAGTAAACAACAGCTTTGTTTGATAGGGAGGTCATAGGAGAGAGTCGAACTGGAAAGGTACGGAAGAGTTGCAGGTCTCATACTCAAGGAAAGCCACCAAGGCCAGTATAAGAGGTAAGTACATTTTTAAATACAAAATTGAACATTTTTCGCTTCATGGTATCGGATAAGAAATAACCATATTGTGCATATCAAATAACATGCGCAAAATAATGGTGAATAATACAAAGAGTGTGTCTATATAGCGGTGATTTAAAATATGAGCGTCAGTAATGGGATTCTGACAATGTATCCCATCTTTATTATATGCAATTATCATCATTGAGGCTTCCTAGATACGAAAACGACGAATAATAATAAATACATTTAGTACACATATTCTTTTTCGCAACTTTCTCTTTATTTTAGAATATTTTTTTTGATTGTGAAACATAATTTTTCTAATAAAAATCTTCATATGGTGTAAATGGAAAATGAGTTCCAGTTTGCTTATCGATAACTGTGATATTTAAAAATTATTCTTTCGTTGTTCCAAATTCTTAGGCTTTCAGTCAAACTCATTTTGCAATATCAAGTCGATTTCTTTCATATGCAATATAAAATTTGAAAATTTGAGATTTTGTTTGTGCTTTTAATTCTCCATATCTATATTTTATTATGTGATTTTAGAATATATGTGTTTGTTTTCTTGATCATTACTGATCTTATTGTTTGCATTTGATTTTGTATATTCAGTGCAAAAAATGACTAGTTTTTAATAAAATTTAGTTCGATTTGCTGCATTATGGCCTAAATAATTGATGCGAGATGTTCCCTAATGAAATGCTAATATTTAAAACTCAATTTTTGAGCGCATTTTAAGAAAAAACCTTCATATTAACATATTCGGAGGTCCCAACTTTTGAAATGAGGGTCGTCGGATAATATTTATTTTTTATAGCGTTTCATACTATTGTCGATTTTTTATGATCTATATACACGCTTTCAACGTGTATATCAATTCGCATCAATGGGTATTTTCTGATATACAAACAATTTAATTCCCGTGCTGGTTTTGTATTAAAAATTTTCTGAGAAAAAAAAATGGTTTGCCACTGCCTCCTCTTAAAATAAAAATTATTTATGTTATGTTGATCTGTTGTTTGAAAAATTTAAATTGATTTACTTCAGGGTCAATCGCTAAAAACTAATGTGTGGAAATAGTTTATTTTGTCCTTTTTTAAGTTATTCAGTTCGTTTAGTACTTAATATATTTTAATGCTGAAATGGCAACTGATTTAACTTTAGGAAAAAATAAAGAAAGTGCCAATTATTACATTGAAATTTTAGCGGAAATTTCAGCTTTCAGAAAAACGAGTTTTAATTTATTTTAAGATTTAAGTTTACATGAACATGAACTGCTATAACTTATAAATTATTAACAATAGAACAAATTATAATTAAAATGGTTGGAAATGGGAGTCTTCACATAGGCATCCCTAACATACTTCTTATAGCTTCCTGGGCTGAAATTAACAGCTTTGGCGAAAAAATGTATTTTGAGAATTCTTCATCATTACTTCTCATTCATTTTGAACAAATTTGATGTATAACTTTCCTTTCAGCCCAGACACAGGCGATTGCTACACATTAGACTATACTTAGAGATGAGTCAGAGAAAGTTAGGACATTTACAGCAAACGTTAATAAGAAGTAATTTTTTTAATTGGTTCAAAAATCGCTACCTTAAATATAGCATATAATTAAGAAACTTTCTGTATACTGCTTTATCATTTTCACTTTAAAATCTTGCGGCATTATGAAAGCTAAGAAATTCATCAAACAATAAATCAATGTTAATGTAAAAACATTTAACTATTTTCAGCGGAATATAAAAAATTTACGAACGTACTAACTTCGGCTGAGATCTCAGAATACAAAAAATTAATTACATTTTTGTAATAAAACCAAAATATTTCTGGATAGGCAACTTTCTGGCTGTCGATATGTGTATAACTATTGGAATATTTCTTCAAGTTCACTAGGGCACTTCAAGCATCTGCTTTTCATCACATTTTGCGCTATTTTGATTGTAAGCTCGTTATAACATAGAAACAATTTAACTGGGTTCTTATTTCAAATCCATCCCAGAAAAAATATACATGATATGCCATTGCATTAAAAAGTTAAATTTGCTGCATAATCCGAAAACTTTTTGAGTGCTTACTTCTTTCGCTATACCCTTTAAAACAGCCCAAAACATCTACCTACTAGATCTACTAAAGAAACTAGCAATACTGCGTGCGTTTATTAATAACCCGATGGCTTATTGCTTGGATACAGATCTAGAAATGTAAAATAAGCATTAAACTTTAGATAATAGACAAAAACATCTGTAATTAGGGCGGTTGTAAAACTTTAATAAACAACGCTTTAATTAATAATCATCATCATTACATTTATTTGTTCTCTAAACATGGTGGATTAAAAACCACAACAAAGTGCTTTCAAAAACAAGTTAATAATCACAACAATAGTCTATATTAAATCATTATAGCATTGTATGATAATTGTACTGCCACGCCAATCCAAAATAAAGACATCTCCGATAAGCAACCATACGTAACTTCCATAAATTCATGGGCAATAAAAATGTTTTGTTACTAGGCACATTTTTGCAAATATTCGTGCAATTTGAAGCGAAAAAAAATTAACTTACCTCAGTTTGCCATCCCATCCTCCTGCCATGAACAGTTTATGGTCAGGTCTAAATCTCACGACTTGGCATCCAGTCGATGAAAGCGTCAGTTCAGCTTGATTAATAATTTCGAATTGTTGTAAATCAAGCCTGCAAAATAAAATTAATTTTAAGGCCTCCAAAATATGCTATAATTATTTACATGAAAAGGATTTTTGGCGGCTTAAGCGGACAAATAATTTTAGAAATAAGAAAAATTTACTGTTGACTGCAGGACATTTTTCTTATTCCAAAAATTATTTGTCCGCCTAAGCCGCGAAAAATCCCAACAAATGACACTAAAAACTCTTCATTTGCATAATTATTTACCTGAATAACTGTAAAAGGTTTGATGAGTTGGAAGCAATTCCTCTACACGTAATCGGATCGAAAGTAATGGAGGTGATAAACTCCTTCAGTTTCAATTGGCAGCATAATTTGGCAGTGATGAAGTCATATAATATAATATGACCTGAAAATATTAAAATAATATGGTCAAAAGTCAGCGGACAAGTAGTATTTCCTTAACTGACCATCTTCATATCCGACAAGCAAATACTTGGTTCCCTTAATCTGAAAAGTCTCAAGGCACATAGGGCTTCCTACGTATTCACCTTCTTTAGGTAGGAATTTGTTAACAGTCTCAAAAGTGTCTAAATTTATAGTATCCAGAGTTCCGTTTTCTTGTGGTAAAACTAGTTGTTGATTAAATATTACACTTTTGCAGAATCCTCCATATGATTCAAAGGTTTTTTGTACTCTAAACAGAATAATATAATGAAAAGTAGACGTATTATTATGGCAAAAAGTTGATGGACTTACGTGTAACTTGTACTATTTTCGATTGACCAAAGCTTGACCAAACCGCTTTTTTCCTGTGTTATGATATCGTATTCTACTGAATGAATGGCTTGAATTGATTCACCCATTTTTTGTCTGTGTTGCACCCGATTGCACTGAAACACAAATACGTTATTTAAAACAACAATCATCGGGTTAAATGACTAAACTTCTTCATCAGATGTATTCTGTGGACTGGAAATATGCAGACATAATTTATTTTTAATTTTAATCCAAAATTTTAAAGTAAACTTAATATCGAGTTAAAAATGTTTAAGTATTCAAAAAGTTTGACTTGATACACCGGACTTAGTTAAATTGAAGCGGAGCCATATTTAGGTGCTCAAATAGAATCGTTTATTTATTCTAATAAGAAGTCATAGTTAGCTTCGGTTCAATAAAATTTGTATTAATTTAGAATAAAACTGTTTTTAAAAACGAAAGTTTCAAATTAATCAATAAAATTGTATGGAGTGTATACAACTCTTCAGATTTGTTGAAAAATTGTTGTGCGTTTGTTGAAAAATTGCTGATAAAGTTGGTGACTTTCCTCTTTTCTTTGAGTAACACGACCAACATTTATTTTCCTTTTTTTAATAGCTGCTCAATTTTATAGTGTAGTTATAGACTTTTCACATATTCTGTGTGTAGATATACATTTTAATATAAAATAAAGAGCGATATAAATTATACGGATGGTTGATAATGATATTAAATAGTTGTCATAACAAATAATGAAAGATATAAGTCAAGATCCACCGAATAGTCGAAAAAATGTGATTGTAAGTGGTTCGATTTACAATTATATGCAAGAAATAAAAGGTAGTGAATGGTCATGGTCATTTGATTTGTAAAAAAAATATATTTCTCTAAATCAGAACGTCAGAGCTGAGGATAGATGTATAATTTAAGCAAATTTGTATAAAATCAAATATTTATTTTGTAAATAAATTCGTCGAATTTTAGCAAAAATAATTTTATAAAAAAAACTGCTTTGTCAAACAACGCATGCTACAATTAGAAATAATTTTCACAAAGAAAAACTAACTTTACTCTCGCCTCAACCGTATCTTTGGATTGAAAAAAGTGAGAATTGCTACTTAGGATGGAAACATCTTAAACCATCATATAAATGGTTAAAATTAGTTTTATTTCAAAACTTTATTTCCCCCGAAGGTACAGAATCTATATTGCAAATATTTTCTTGTTCAAAATTACAATGTATTCCAAGTTAAAAGTAAAAAGATGTGTAGCGAGGAAAAAGAATATTGAATTTTTGAATCAGGGTTGGCAAGTCAGTCCTGTTTGCTGTAAAATTGTTAAGTAAAAACTATACAAATAAAAATATGAAAATATTCACTTAAATAAGTACACAACAAGCAGGACTCATTTCCAAAAGTTTATTAAATAATGTTTGAACACTTCTTATCCATTCTACCGCCTGTTATCTTGGGACACACTGTGCCTAATCTTGGAACACACTGTGCAAGATATTCTTCCTATGGGTTTTTGGTAAAATGGATACGTTTTACAAAGAAAACGCCGCAGGTATTAAAGAATGATTGGTAAACTTTAGTCAATCATTTTATATATTTATAACAATTATAATAAATTTGGAAATTCTGATTGTTCCGTGCACAATGAGCAATAATATAGAGAAAACTAAAGTAGCAAATACAATATAATAATGGAGTTGATATAAGCAAGTACACATGCGCTGATGACGGCTCTGAGTTCTAATGATGCCAAAAGTTTATTGTCGTTTCACCACACGTCGTTTTACGTTTCTTTCCTGATCGTGGTTTTTTCTCGGTTGATATTAGTATTTCCTGATTTGTATTCGATTATGACCATATTTTTCCTCCGCTAATTACACATAAAAAAATCGAAAATTTTGAAAGTTCTTTGATTTTTTATTAATTTTTTGCTGAATTGATTAGAATTGAAAATGAATGAAATTAAAATAACGTACCTATAGGTAGATTCAAAGCACATGTTTAAAATGTAATTATTATTCTATGGAAAAATTGGTTGTATAAAAAGTCTGTCACTTAATAAAATACACACACATTATGAAATCTTTATATTATTAAAAACTATTTAATTTTACACCCATTATGAACTAGTTTGGTTAAATATGATACTGCTTATTACCAGGGGCAATAATGAGAGGAAATTATGAATATATAATTCATAGCACGCAGTGGAACAAAACAAACTACAGTGGTAAATTATTTTTAATTTTTTTTTATCTCATTTTTTTAAATGTTGAGATGTTACTAAAATGGTGAAAAATATTACTTTATTTTTTACCTTGGAAGGTATATGGTTAGTGGATAAAGAATATTAACCCAGTGTTGAATGGCTTCCATGAGATTCTCATCGAACAATGTACTAGATTATCAATAAGTACGAGGATCTTGGTCAATAATAGCCATAAAAACCGAGTCTAAAACTGTCCTTTATCCCCGACTAATTCAAGATTTGCTAAAAAACACTAGACCTGAAACTAGATATTTCGCATTTTCAGTTGGAGACTCGCTTTAGCCGACAATAATATGCTCTTGGAAAGCTATTTTAAATGAAACGTAATTTTTCTGATCATTTGAAAGGCGGGTTAAGGTGTGAAAAAGCTGATATTTAAATTTAAACACTTAAGTAGATGACAAACTGTTCAACATAATTTACCACTGCACTATATTTGGATTCGCTACGCACTAGGGAATAATGATAATTCCGTCTTATTATTTCCTTGGAATTAATAAGCAATATTATACTGTATTTACTAAATAGTAACGTTTATATTATTAGGAAAAAGAAAAAATTAAAGATTTACTTGACGTTCATACATCATCATTTTTTGGTTTCCCTAAATTTAATCGAAAATCTTTTATTTCCTGTGACGTATTCGGTTCTTTCGCAGAGAAAAAGTTTGAATTCAATAAATATTTAAAAATCTCTTTCCAACTACCTTCTAAACATTTTTGATCAATACTTGCGAATCATTGAAACACGAAAAATTAATATAAAGAAGCAAAATAATAACAGAAATATAAAGATAATTAAATAAAAATGGAACGACAATGGTACAATGGGTTATATGACGGGACAACAGGCCTTGATCTGCCCGGTTAAAAATGTGCTCACTTTATTGATAATACCTATTTTGCTAAGAACTTTTCTTAATTGCGTTTTTAGCCATTGACCACTTTTTACCCATTGAAACTCACTGGTTTTCCATAAGAGAAAAACCACCACTAACAGTATTCTGGATTATGATCGTTTCATGTTCATGTTTCATGAGTTGTAGTTTGTTTCTTTGCTCTGATGTTTCGCATGAATTGGGCCACCCTGTATAATTTGTAAAAACATAAAATTGTTTGTAGAAACGTTTCTGAAGTGGTATTTATTAAATTAGGCATGCTTTGACCTGACAAAAAGGTATACTATAAAAATATATACAACAAAAAAAAGAAAATGATACTGTAAAATAAAAAAACATTGTAGCTTTGCTCCAATAAACACAACAAAGTCGCTCTAATCTTGGACAAATTGTAGGGCAACTCGCTTTGTTGGTAGCCGTATCAGACTTGAGACGTACGTCTGAACTAAGCACTAAAGCACAGGCCTGTCATTTGAAACAGAACAACAAACACATCCACAAGATCAACTAAGTACACATGGAAATACGGAATTATTACGTCGCTTAACCTCTTAATTAATGGCATTAATATTTTCCGCATACATTTGATAAACAATAAGACTCTTACCTCTAAGTCTAGGAAATATACGTTTCCTTGTTCGGTCCCTGCCAGAAGTAGATCAGAATAATCCGGGTTTCGTTGTGGAAAACATAGAGAATGAACGTGTCCCATATTTTTATTGAAAATGAAAAGTGGATCGGGTGGCAGAATCGCTTTTCCGGTAGTCATTTTTGTTGTGAAATTAGCCAAAAATAATTTAAAATTACGACGAAAAGAAAAACACGGTTCGAACTAAGCAGCGGCCATCGAGGAACTGAACGGGATCAGGGTCTTTACAAATATACCGAACGATAAATGTACGGTTAGTAGTACAATATAATCTGACTCKACGGTTCTAAAATAATAATTTTATTTTGCTTTCCTCGATAAGTTATTTTTAGGTTTATTAAGTTTCTTGTCTTTCTAATACAGCTCTTTAGTTGTAAAAGTAGCCATCAGTTTTAGACAAATTAATTTGTCAGATATTTTTGGTACGATGTGTCTGATTATAGATTGTTAGTACTTAAAACAGGATTTAGCAGCAAATTGCTTTAGTCCAATCTCCTATATTGTTTGATAATGCAAGATGTTGTAAAACCGAATTTGAAAAGTGTATGAAAGTTTCTTTGTGAAAAGTTAACAAAGCAAAAAATTGCATATTACGCTATAATAAAGCAAATATATACACTCAGTTCCAAAAAATGTCGCACGCCAAATTTTTTCGTACAGTTCGAAGATTAACCGATTTTAATATATGTGTATAAATATTTTTTTAAACTTGTATCGTGATTGTTTAGCTATTATCTGAAGTATATGAAATGTTTATTCTTCATTTTTAACTACAAATAGTGAAGTTATTAATTTTTAACAAGAGCCGTGATTAAAATATAAAAATGTTCACAAGAAAAATAGTTTTAAAAGGATTATCTACATTTTGGTTTAAAGAAAACTGCAACTAACAGGGTATTTTAGAAATAAAGTTTCTCCAGATGCGGGGTCGGTTATGTGTATTGTATGAGATTCAATACGGGTGGCTATGTGCGTGCGAGATATAATTGTGTACTTCTCTTTATCTATGCCAGACATAACTGGTGGTAATAATGCATAATAATGGTAATAATGAAGAAGGGTTTGGAGCATGCCATCAGAAGTTATCACTTAAATCACAATAAAATCTAAAGATACTGCAGAGCAGCTGTAACTATGAATTGAGACTGTAAAATTGATCTGCAGGATACTACAAAATTGAAGTAAAAAACATACGTTCTTACTTTCCTACATATCTCGACTTCTAAATTATTATATATAGTATCTCGGCTCGATTTGAGATAATATCCAAATAATTAAGCTACGAATTTCAAGAAAATCCACTAAAATCGGTTAATTATTGTCAAAGTTAGAATATTATAAACTTTACGAAAAAATCAGGTGCGCCCCTTTTCTACCTGAGTGTATATAATTCGCTTAAATTATATTGTTTTTATCGCCTTTGCGAACCTAAATGATACATGCGTTTATATGCAAAAAGATTTTGATACACAAGCAGTAAATAACTTCGTATTGTACAACTACATACGCAGTAACAACCCTGTAGCCACAACCACATGTATAAATTACTAATGTTGTAGGTTTCAAAATTACGAAATATTCTAATAAGATATCAGATTTTATAGGATCTAACTGCTATATAGTTATCACTTTCCATAAATTCTTCACTTGCGAGTACTTTTTTTGGGATTTTGTCTCTGTACCTACTAGTCAGTCGCTGCGCCATCTTCACAAGAGCATTCGATTTGCGGCACCTTATTGAATGAAAAAAAATCGTTTTTTTATATTATGAATTAAGATTTTGCATTTGTATTTTTGAAATATAATTAATTCATTTCTACTAGTTTAAAATGAACTCGTTGCTGCTAAGGAGACTTAAAACCATTTGGAAATTTACATGTTTTAGCTAAACCTTGACATGGCGAATGCGATTTATTCTTTCTAAAGACTAAAATATTAAAAGAAATTGAGTGTAATTAAGATTGAGTGATATTTTCTTGATATTTTCTGAACATCATCTGGTCACCTAAAAGCAACCCGGGCATACATAAACACATTTTTTTAAATAGTTTTTAAATACAGCTCTTCAATTAGTTGACCTTCCAATCATCTTGTATTATGGTTTTAACTACATATTCTACGATGACAAATTACATAAACAAGACAAAAAAATTATATAAACGTAGAACAGCAAAATTTGTTAAAAACTACTTATCTCAAATTTTAAAATACAGTTTAATAATTTTCGTTTTAGCGAAACTTTAAGGTGATTTATAATTTTTCCAAAAAATCATACATATTTTTCATAAATTAAGTTTATTCTCCGTTCTTTGCTGTTTACAAATGACGTAATCACTTTGTCATTAAAAATATCTATTTTGGAGGTAAACGCATGGAAAGTGTTGTTAAGCGAAACTCGCCATCTGCGACCATTATTTTTCTGAGAAACATTCTGATCTGAGGGTTCGTTCGGTGTCTGATGTTTTCGTCAGAGCTGTTGTCACAATTTCTAATAAATTTGAGTTTACTTAACTTATTTCTTAGATAGTTTTCTAATACACATTCCTGAGGAGGTGTTGAGCCATTTAATGCCCTGCAATCGTTTCTTGAATAAATAACAGACAATACAGTTTGTAATTGTTCTTTATCAAAGAAAACGAAAAACGCGCTTTTTCTCTCGGGAAATTTAGTGAAATATTTTCATAAGAATTCCCTGAAAAGATGCATCTCTAATAATGTTATCAATTTTATTCCGAACTTGAACGATGTTGCGATTTAAATTAGCGGTAGCATTAACCATCCATCCTACTCGAATAGATTTTGTGCAGCAATTGATTTAAAAAATGTGTCTATGTAGGCCATCATATGATGGAATATTCAACACAACACTTAAGGAGGAATTAAGCAAATCCAAAAACGTGTAATTGGCTGACCATCGCCATCATCAGTTATTTCGGTCGCCATGAGCGCAAAAATAAGAAATGTTCGTATTTATTTGTTCATGTCACTGTAGAAGATCGTTTTGTATTTCTTTGGGTGCGCCTTTAAAAATTGAAGTATTATTTAGTAGTTACGTGAGAGTTGTATTTGTTTCAGCAAAAAAGTTCTAAAGCCATGCAATATCTTCGGTTTATCGAAAGGATCGTTCTCATTATGCTCTATTAAGTTTTTATATAACATACCTGTAGGCTCTCGCAAAATGGTTCGGCTCTATTTTGGCATTTACGCATACGCCTCTCTACACAATGTTTAAATAATATTTGAGACAGTTTCACACTCCTTTTTACACTCCGTACATTTATTATTATTGTATTTATTTTACTTTATTTTACATATTCTCATATTGATCTAAAATTTTAATAGAACCTAGTAAAGCAACCTTTAAATACACGCCTCTATTAAATTTACATGTATGATTTTTCCTCTCTTTTCACCAGGTTTTTCGATAATCTCGTAATGGTCTATAGGTTCCCATATGTAAATTCGATAATTTGTAGGTATGAGTATTCAAAAAAACCTATTCACATTATTAAAATTGAAGCCCACTTGTAAGTAATCAGTTAATATTTTTTGCCAAATTAGCAGTACACAAAACTGAATTTCTCATACGTACGAAATTATTTTTGGTTTTAAGTTGAAATCGTCACAAAGTGAAGAAAGAAAGCCGCGATGAAGTCGATACTAACACACAACCGATATTCTTCTACTACACAATAACTCGATTAGTGCTGAGCTAAATGCAGCCAAATGCGTCGACCTTTTCTCTCAATATTACCACTTTGTCCATTAATAGCAGAAGAGCCAGATATTTTCAGTTAATAAAAGTTAGGCCAGATTGTCTTCTTTTGAGCCAAAACATGTCGTTCTTAGTACCAGTTTGATCGAGTGCTTCTGGAACAGTTTGCATACAGTTTTTTCATGAAAGTGAAAATGCAAGAAATTTATTTTGAAAGTTCTTCACAATTGACGACTTTGAAAAATTCATAAATGGTCACAGTAAGAAACTATTCGTTTTTTAAAGTAAGATTGGGACGTCTTAAAACTTACATACTAATCTACAAAAAATCCAATCTTTGAGAAAATAGCTCTAATCGACGAAACTGCATTATAACAGCAGTTATAGGTTTACCGTTTCTGGGTTACAATTAAACACATCTGTTTATTTAATTTTTTAATGATTGCTATTCCAGTAAATAGAATTAATACATTGTCACACATACAATTTTCATACACTGAATTTGGTTAAAAATAATTGCAACGTAATTTCTCTAAATTTTCACATTTTGTTAAATACCTATATCTTACAAATTATTTAATTTTTCTTTCGAATAATGCCTTGAATTCACAGTAATGTTTCGTTTTTTTCTAAACCTAATTTTTATCATCAACTTTTATCAATTCACAAAAGTACATCCTTTGGTGTCTTTACTTATAATTCTAGAAGGTTTTTTTTACAAAAATTTACAATTTGTTCCTTGACCGAAAACGGCTACTTGCTTGTGTACATGATAAATTTTAATTAATTTTACCGACGACACCAAAGAATAAATTTTGTACTTATGAGAGAATTTACAGAAACCAACTCCTCTAAACAAAATTTATCTTTCACACATTCAGTCTTGCATTCGAAAAAAATTGCTCTACAGTATATAGTAAAAGATAGGAACTTAAACTTAACTAGGAAAAAAGCGAAATATTTATAATTTAAATAAAAAATGGCAGTCAAATTTAAAAATAAAAAATGGCAAAACAATATTAATATATTTATAAAGTAAAAAATTAAACGTATATAGTTTTAACTTCCTTAATCACTACACTTAGACATTTCAAAACAGAACGGTTTTTGAAATCAAACAGTTTTCTGCTTTGAAACTGCTTCATTGTAAATTTCCTTATAGTTCTTACAAATAATATTAATAAAAATATATAAAAGTTTGTAATAATATAATTTCTTAAAATTAGTTTACATAACTTTTTTGAACATTATACATAGGTATAGATTTTAAACGTATACATAAAAAACAATAAATACGTCTATAACTGTAGAACACTTATTTTTGTATTAAAACAGGATACAAGGTATGGGTGGTTCTCAGATTTTTCGAGAAAATGAGCGACATTATTTTGTTATTCGTTTTCCTGGTTTCTTTCACCGGTACTGAATAGATATAGGTACCTAATACAGATCGCTCGCTCGAATTTTTGTGAAAAATATGAGTCCAGTGGCAGAACGAAATTTTTCGTTAAAACTAAAAAATGGCAATTACTTTTAGGCGCGCTGAAGCATGTACTTTAAAACTTAACCGAAATAAATACACGTTTAAAATGCTTACATTGTTACATGGTATAGAGGATAATATCAAAAAATTGCCCAATAGAAACCAAAAACAATCCCTTAGCAATCCTTCAATTATCCTAATTTAGAGATTCACAATTTCGATGAAAAATATATTGCACAATTTCAGTTAACTAACATATGCAATGGCAAATATAGTCGGAACCAGTTTGCTCAATTGCATATTCTAGAAAACGGGTTACGCATGCACACTTTTCAGTGAGACACACATGTGAAAACTAAAAATATTAAATTAATAATCGATAAGGGCCAAAAACGCTGTAATTTTGCAAGATTGCTAAGATAAATGACATTTTTTGGTCAAAAATTGCATCAAGAGTTTTCGCTTGTTGATATTTCACCTTGGACAGAAAAAAATCACTATTGTAACTATTGAACTATTGAAAACCTGTAACAACATATACCCTAGGTTTTAAAATTACCTATATGTGCGATATATTAGTAAATGTAAGAAGTATGGCGAATATTTTGGCGAAATATCAACTATGCTCTTTGATTAATTTGTGTTATTGCATCAAAACGGTGTTTTTGTACTAGAACAACATGTGTCATAACTACTTGAATTCAAGTTTGGATTTTTGTGAACTTGGTAATAGAACTGGATTGAGATAAATTTGCCTATTTTAATGCGGATTGTTTTTCTCTTTGTGGCGTACATTTTGAAACGTTCAAAGCACTTTCTTAAGGTACCATTTTACTACACCAGTTTTTGGATTCGTTGTTACTTTTTATGCAAACAAATTATATTTTTAACTGTGGCCCCGTTTTAATTGTTATTTTTGAGCTTCGCGTATCAGAAAGCTTTGAAAAGTTTTCTAACTTTCTGTCATTTTCGCTTCTATTCATTTCGTTTTCCGCATTAAACCAATCGCATTTTTTATTGTTACCAAGATAGCCATTTGACTGGGTGGAAGTTTCGACGCCCTCTATAACAAATGGTTTTCAAAACGTGCTATTCCAAAAGTAAAAATTTACTTTTCTAGTGTGTTTAATCGGGCATTTTTTGGTACACGTTTGGAGAACTTTCTGTTTATGGCCATACCATTTACGATTTATAATCGCTATTCCTTGCAAGTAGTAAGTAGCATAATGCGACACATAGTTGCCTATTTGAATAAGAATCATAGTCCTGCGTCTTTCCGGGAATGTAGGATTTTGATAAAACTTTGAGGCAATTTTTTGGGCATCAACACAACAATTTGATAACAAATAGCACAAAAACATAACTTTTAACAATTATTTGCTAACATTAAAAACTACATTTAATAATATGTGGTTTTATGCTAATATTATTGAACGCAATTTTATTAACCGCAGAATTTCCATTTTGCATTGCAAGGCCGAAAAGTTTGTAGTTTTCCCAAAAGTGACGTTTTCTTTTATTTATATAAACGCCTCATCCTCAAACCCGCCAACTGAAGACTGGTCGAAATTAAATATCAACAAGCCTTTTATTTTCACATGCATGTGAAATATGAGATTGAAATCTGGAAATTTTGAATTGCAGTCTTCAAGTTGATTGGTTGGAAGCTGGGACTAGAGGTTGAAGTGTAACAGTGTAAATTTTTAATTTGAACTAAATAAAACACCCGCTAAATATTGATAATTTCTCAAAAACCATACATACTCTTCTCGAAAATGTCAGTGAATTTGAATATTCAATTCCATTTTGCGATAAACCATGTATAGCAAAACTAATAAAAAATATAAGTAAAATTCCATAAAATCTGTTTTCTTTTACACAAACGTGTATCATTTTTGTAATTTACCCGAACTGTGTGTGTTTATCTGTGTATTATGTAAATGTAATATATTTGATTTTATATATTATTGTAAAAAATAATAAGGTAACCGCTTTCTGAAAAAATACACGAACCCTTGTTTTTGAAACTGAAAAGCGAATCGCTTGAACTGAAAGAGATTTGAAACGTGTTTTTTTTGACAAGAATTTGAATATTTTCCCAAAAATCAAAGTCACGAAATAACTTGAAACTGAGGTGTGGAGTATCAAAAATTTTTGTATAGGGCGATTTCCGGAAAAGAAACCCCCGTTTGGACTATTGCTGTTTAACAAAATATTGAAAAATCGACGTTGCCGCACTTATTTGCTACTTTCTTTATGGGATTTTCTTCCATACTTTTTTCTGCTCTAGTTGAAGCTACATATATGTTAGATACTGTGAGTATGTGAAGGGATTTGGGGGAGTGATAAAGAGTTTATATATATATTCTAAATTGCTGCTTAAAAATTAAATTTAAATGCCAATATTGTTTGGTGATGGAATTTTGCATCAAATATTTAAAAAAATTGCACTACAAATTAATTCCTATGAATACAATCATCACCTCATTGAAAGTAATCGCTATTTTCCTAACATTTATTATATGCAAAAGTGTCCATTAGCAGTAAAATTAGAAGCGAGGAGTTCTTATTAATACTGTTATTCATATGTGATTTCCAATGATAAAAACTGGCAATACTTTTTAAAGAACCGTAATAACCAATAAGGTAAAGAAATACATTTATTTACTTAACCTTTTTAAAACAATATTACTTTACTTAAATTTGGTCCAGTTAAGCTTGAGTAAGTTTTTGAAATGTTTTGATACACTTTGTAAGTCAGTTTCAAAGATTCAACTTTTTGGATCCAATTTTCATTAAACATGTACTTATTTTCCGTGCAATTTTACAAGCAATTGAGGAATTTTGGGAGAACGGGACATTAAAGTTAGATTCTGCACTACATTTAATACAGCTACTACATATGGCATATGTTTTTGGGCCCCAAAGAGAAAATCGTGTGGCAGCGTCGATCCAAAAACAGTGAAACGAAAAATCGAACAAAAAATCGGTCAGAAATTCGATAATATTGTGTCGTGAAGGCGACACTTTGTAACTGTGGGCTATTGCAAATAAAATTTCGTTTTTTATGTAATTTTACAATAAATATACGACATTATCGGGCATTTTAGTCGTGATATTTTGTAAAATACACTTAAAATGGGTAGCGAACTCGAGGTGAGGATGTTGGGTTTTTCAGTTAACATCTATGTCCACGACGAGTTATTTTTAAAACGGTTGAAAAATTCAAAAGTTGATTATAAATATTTAAAATTTATTTTCATAGTTTTTCTATAATTTTTATTGAACGATACGCAAGTAAATCATGTTTCTTAAGTCTAATTGCTTTCCCTTCTGTTTTGGAATAGATTGCAAATTCTTCTTATTATGCTGATTAAATTTTTATTGTTTTTCTTGTTGCGCTATGCGTAAAGTAGCCAACACAAATTAAGGGACAAGAATTGCTTTTGCTTAGTTCTGACTGTCGGATCCTTTGAGAATAATGTAAACAAATGATTTCTTGAACTATACAGGGTAGTCAAATTTTAATCCACGAGACTTAAGGATATATTTTTTACTCAAAAGATTGCAAAATCCTATACATCCTATAGTTCAAAAGCGAAAGATCAGCTGGTAAAACTAGCAATTCATAAAAATGAACTTCAACGAATATTTATTTTGTTGTTAATTACAAAACGCAAGATGATGAAACTTTTTAAGCATATTAAGTCTCACAAAAATATTAAAAATAACCGATTTAGAAAATCTTGTTAGGAGGGCTGCCGGGAAGGTTGAAAAACTTTGACTGCTCAAATATTTTTAGGCGTCCTCGGAATCGTTTCCCAAAACTACATAGCTTTTAAATAGAAAAGCGCAAGTTGAGACTATCTACAAAAATCAATAGTTTTCGAGTGATTTCAAATTTTCAATACATGTGCATCGATGGAGTTTCCATTGATTCTTTTTACTTTACTGTGCTGAGATCCCAATGCTAACTTTTTTTAACGTTCTCGAAAACTCTTCTAGCATTTTTTTCTGATCAGGTTGTCCCTAGTTTTATCAAGCCTGTGAGACCTAATATAAATTTAAATTTTGACCCTTTTTTCTGTTGTCAAGAAATTAAATAGAATATATTTATTGAGCCAATGCACTTTTAAAACCCGCTACCTCCGCTGATCTACACTTGTAGATCATTTACGTAGCTTTTTGGGTGTAGGATACGCCCTTAAAGTCTCCCAGATTGGAATTGGATCACCCTGTATATTTTTTTGGGATTTGACTAAATATTTTAGGAACTTGTGTAGATATTCTAAAATCAAATTTAATTTGCGATAAAGTTGTATTAAATTCTCATATTGGATTCCCATTTGTCATAATTGGGAAGCCAGTTAGTAAAAACTTTATAAAAGTTGTATAGAAAATCACATCTTGTATAATAATACCAAAAACTGCGCTTTCGGAATCCCTACAATTTATCTAAAATCGTTTTTCTCTTTTCCATGTTAATGTTTGCTGGTGCCTTATTGCTTTTAAATCATGTTCTCCAAATAGAGAACAGTAAAATAAAGTTCGATCAAAATCAAAATATAAACATCAAATGAAAAATATCGATTTAGAATAAAAATTATTAAACTTGTTTAGACGTAAGTTTGTTATCTATACAGGGTGATCCAATAAATTAATTTTCAGGTATGCCTCGCTGCTCGGAGGTTATGCTATTCAGCGGACTCACGATATATTTTTTTTCTTGCAGAATTTGTTGTTTCTTTTCTTTAGCCAGCTTCTTAATTTAGTTCCAGCAAAACATTGATTGCAAGTAATAGTTTTTTGTCGGGTTTTTCCATTCTCTTAACGAAGGCCCTGGCTTTAATCGCTTTTAGAGTTAAATCATCATTACTTTGCAGAAAATTGTATATTTTTTAAATATTAAAATCTTGTTTTGCATTATTTTTCGTTCTTATTATATTATAATACTTAATATTGATTTGAGACGACGCAGAAAATCGAATATTGAAGAAATATCAGCTGGTTTCATTATCATGAGCAAATGAACGAAAACCAAAAAGGTCATCGAGTTCCAGTCTACATTCAAAAACGTAGATGACACATATTTACAATTTTTATGAATTTTTTTTATTGACAATTTTACTTTAAACAGGATAAGAAGAATCAATTTAAAATAATTTGAGTCCTAATTTGGCAAATTCGCCAATCTTTGAAGACCAACATTTAAAATATCGACTTTATTGTGAATTACTTTGATTTAAATCGGTATTTTTCTCAGTTTACTAACCTTCATCTTTATAATAATTTCAACCAATTTCAAAAACAACTATTCTATGTCCAGCAAATGATAAATGAAAAATCCAACGTCCATCCAGAAAAAACAGCAGCCCCGATGAACGCTACAGGGTAATCAAAACAATATGGTCTCAAAAATCTACTCCATTAGAGGGGATTTTTTTTGGGCATTTTACATCCCCCCTTATAAAGCGTTCTTTTACGAAAAGCGATATTTAATTAAGTCAGTGTAGAGCTTTTCTCGGGAAAGCTCAACGACGACTCATAATTCATATGCACTGTTCTAAAAAACTACGCAACATGGAATAGATCTCTGATTTTGGGCTATGGAGAATTTTTTTTTGTGTGTGGTAACTACTTAAGAGATCTTAAATAGTTATTGATAACGGGCAAAAAATATTGAAGCACTTTGTGCAACCGGGCTATTGTAAAGTTTTGTGTATGTATTTTAACTGTTAGTTATGTCATTATTGGGTGAAATCTAGGGGTACGCTAATGAAGACGAAATGCCGCATTTTGTGTTTTTCACTGATTTGCTCCAGAGAAATAATTTAGTAACCGGTAATGTCGAATGTGTATGCTTTTAGTTCAGTATAGCAAAATACGACATTCGTCCCGCCTAACGTGCCTTGGGTGTCGCTCAATGGTTCCAAAAATGCTCGTTTTGCTAGTGAGTATCAAGCAATAACGGATTTTGAAAAAATGACGACGTCAAAATCGGGTGTGGCGTAAAAATTGACAAACTTCAAGAATTCTCCTTAGTTGGGAAGAGTCTAGAGTCTGCCACAAAATTACTTTGAGGAGTCAGTCAACTATACTCGAAAATTATATTTTTTGCGGGATTTCCAAAGTGCAACTCAGTCCAAAGATTCACCATTAAGGGCTGGAAAAACTGGAATCTATTTCAATACTAATTTAATTGTTTGATTCAAATTTTGAAAACTTCATAACAAAAAATGTGAAATTCGCATATTCTGAAAGGGTAAATCGGGTCCTGAATTGAAATTGGGTTCACTTTACAAATACTTTTGAGATCAGAACCAACTGTATGGACTAAATAGCACTTTGCAATGTTATCAAAACCAAGAGAACTTTTGAACTTTTATATCATGACTGAACCAAAAGTGAGAAAATCATTTTTACGCACGTTCGCGGTTATTTTACACGTGCAAGTGTCTGTTGTGTGTAAAATATGTGCTGTCACTTTTATGGGAAATTATGGTCAACCTTAAGGTTGCATATAGCTATTGTATGTACTTTTTTTAAACTATTGACTATTGAGTGGCTATGGAACTCCTCCCTTCGCGAAACTATTCGATTATTTTACAAATTCCATGGGTGATATTTACAGAAAATGTATTTTGGCTTCGAATATAAAAATTATACTGAGTAGATCTGTGTAGCCTAAATTTCTGCTGGGGTAAAATAGTCGGAAAGTTTCCGAGAGAGATGCTTTGTTATGGGGCATATGTACAAAAAGGCTGCTTATTTGTAGTACGTAAATATTTACAAAACATCGGAAGAAAAAGATAAAACCACATTCTGTACAATAAACGATTGTTTCCATATTATTGATTTCATCAATGCCAATTTTTGCTAACAACGAAAATTCTTTAATTTTCAGTTAAGTACGCTTGGTTTTAGGAATTATTTTTGTCGTTGAAAAAATATTTGCTCTCATTCACTCTGCACGCTCTCATTTTTTGAAAACACTTCATTTTGTACTTTTTAAACTAATAAAAAACACTGGTAGAGAGATATATTTTTGACAATGCCAATTAATTCTAATATCAAATTTTCGATGTTTTATGATTATTATAGAAGTACATGTTAATTTTCTCTCTCTACCTCGTAATATTTTATATTACTTAGTAAAATAAAACAAAATATATTTAATAATCACAGAACAGATTGCAGAAATTAAAAAGAAAGTTATTGCTAAACGTACAATCACCGGCCAAAGGGATTAGACAAAAACACAATCACAGAATAAATAAAAATCTTAACATTTTTGCGCTAAAATCAATTAGTAGTTTTGATGTCAATTCACGTTCTTAAATTAAACGTATATCAAATTCTCTATTTTGCATTCACACATATATTTTCTATATATTCTAAAACAATTATATATTTACAACTTAAGTAATCTGCTATAAAAAACTGTCTCGGAAATTATTTAGAGGTAGTTTTTTATATTTAAATTTTAACACTTATAATCTATACATTCTTAAACTGATTTTTATTTTGTAGTGGTACACTTTTAAAGTGTAGATATATAAATATATTTATTCTAATGCCTTAGGCATCGTTACTTTATATACTGAACACCAACTTTCCATCAATAGATTGAAATTAGTCAGGATTTAAACGTGTTTTGGCACATATTTTTCATAAAATGAAATCAACATCTTTGCAATGTGCAACGCTTCCAATAGGAAAATTATGTCGACAATTAAAAAAGTGCTCATCGAAAACACAATGACACAAACACAAGAAATATCACCTGAATAAAACAGTAAAGAAACAAACAATTTGCTCAAGTTGCGTGTTCAGTAATAGCTAAACTCTCATGGCTGATTTGTGTTATTTTGCTGACCTTGATTTTGCTGCTGTTGCTGAGGCTGCGGCTGCTGTTGCTGCTGCTGCTGTTGTTGTTGCTGCTGCTGCTGTTGCTGTTGCATAGTATTTTGCAAGTTTTGCTGCAGATTTTGTTGCAAATTTTGTAAATTGCCCGCACTGCCTAAAGAGAAGCCTAATGATCTTGGGTCACTTCCGTGTAGCCTTAAGGCTTGTTCCAGTCTCTGCTCTTGCAGCCTCAGAGCCTCGGTGAGATCAGGGCTGAGTTGTTGAGAGGAGGTTTGAGCTTGGTGGCCTTGATAGTGTCCTAAATTTAAAAACAATCTGTATAAAATCGAGCAAAAATGTTATAATGAGAATAATAAAGTATAGTATTATACGAGTGAGTTGAGCAATTGGGAAGTGACTAGAATACCCTATTTGGAGAATACTTTTGATTGATAATGTTTTTTTCATTTATGATTATTGTTTTAACACCATAATGGTATAAAAGTTTTCTAAAACGGAAACTAAACAGTACAAGGAGACATAAATAATCATCATGCAATTGACATGAATTTTGCGATTACTGGATACGGGAAAGTTGTTAAAAGATGATTAAAATATCGTAATATTAAATAAAAATCTGGCTACAGAAATCAAAAAGCTTTTGAGAAATAAAATCTCATTGATTTTTAACAACCCGACAAAACATTATTAGTTAAATACCGTAGTTACTAACGCAAAAAAAAGCGTTAGAGAATAGAGAAGATCATTGGAAAACTCGATGAACCTTAGATAAAGCTAACAAAAACGACAGTGTAAAAACGCAACTTCTGAATCGGAACAAATCAGTAACAAGGCACATGATATTTAAAACGCTTTAGTTTAATTTCTATTAAATTAAGAAATAAAGAACAGTTGAGTAACCTTCACGGCGAATCATTTGAGAGGCAATTTATCCATAAAAATATGGAGAAAAATTGATTATTAGATATTAAGTTAAAGAGCAGTGAAGAAAACTGACAGAAAATGCACAAGAAAGTTCCAACCTAACAGCCGATCAGACTCAAGATATAAAAATAAATAGAGAATCCTGAGTTTGGGAGTAATTAAATTATTTTGTTTCTGGGCCAGTTAAAATATAATCAAGTTAATAAAATTTTCACTAACACCGGAAAAGCGCAAGAATATAAAACAGTATACGTTTATAAATTTGATTTGAAATTTGATAAAAAAAAATCAACAAAATTAAAAATAATCAAATAATACTTTTGAAACACAACCAAAGGAGGAACAATCTTTATATCTTGTATATGAATCTTGAATCTTGTAAATAATTTTACCTAAGGACTTTAACGCAAATAAGACAAAATGCACACAATGAAAGCATTGAAGGAAATTAACAAAATAGGGGATGCAATAAAATAAAAACTGAAGGCAAAACGATTTAATAAAATCTAGTGATTAAACCACTAAATAATTTAGCCTAATTAGTACCATAATTTGCAATTGAAAATTTAATAATTATGACAGTAAAAGAGATGTTGTAAATATTGATTTACAAGTATTTGCAGGTATTAGAATTTACATTCTCTAACGTGTGAAGTAGAGCATTAAATAAATATCAGTTGAATACAAAATTCATTAATGTCAGAACAGAGAACAGAAAAAATAAAAAAACCGATTAGTTACATTACAAAACATTTGAACAAACGTTAAATAAAGGCGGTGGTCTGCAAGTTGTACGGAATCAATTATCGATGTTTTGAGTAAGGATGAAAGAGGAGGAAAAAGTAACAAATTAATAAATGTAAGCAAAATAATTCTACCCAAACTTCCATACATGTTATAATAAATCAAACTAAAATAAAGCGCGACAATCTGAGTTGCTACCCAATTCGCTACAGTTGGAGAGAAAAAAAACTTTTTCGGTAAGCTCCCAGTTTCATAAAATCCAAATAGCACTTCAAAGCATTTTTATAGAAGAGAAATTACAGATTATTGAACAATTTGGACGTAACTGTATAAGAACGCAAAAGACCAATTAGATTCAATTACGACAAAATAACATATAACAAGTAGTGAAAATGCTCATTTAACCAGGAAATTCATTATTGAATATTTAGAACCACTTAATTAATATATTGAAAGCTTAAAAGAAATGTATAAATAAAAAAAATGTCAAAATTATACGCAATAGTAGATGTAAATCATCAAATCATTTTAAATCAGATTTATTAAGATTTGGCACAAAACACATAAATCATCAAATGTTTCTGTCACCTGTCACAAGTATTAGCATAGGAAAATAGGACATTCTAGTGTACCTTGAATTGCAAAACGTTTGTGAAAACAGTAATAATGATAATAATTGTTAAAAGCGTTAAAAAACAGTATGTGTTAGAAAACCGAAACCCAAAATTAAAATAACTTACTGAAATCAAATCAGGAATTTCCTCTATTGCCAGAAAGGCTGAAGGTGTTTTTCTAAAAGAAATAAACAAAACATAGAAAATAAAACCACGGGTTGACTCGACCCAATATGACATATTAAGAAATGCTTGTTGCTAATAAAACAAAAAGTAAGAAAATAATAAAATAACAGAACAAAATCCTAAATGAATGTAATTTGATTAAATCAAAAGTAATGAAAAAATCTTACCGTTGTGGCGCAATGGACTATGGCTGTTATCCTGTTGGTGCTGATTCAGCTGAGAGAGACCTTGCGTCATAGCCAGTCTGATAGCTGCCTCAGCTTGAGATCGAATAACTGCCTCTTGCATGCGCAGCGCTTCCTGTGCAGCTGCTGATTGCTGCGCAGTTTGTTGTGACGCTTGAGACATATCCATTACCTAATCCAAAAAAAAACATTGGTTAACTTCTTTTAAATCCTATTATTTCTATGATTGGATTGCTGCTTTGAAAAGCAATTTCTTGCAAAATTTGTGCATTTAACATCCAAAACTGAAAAATAAATCTACTTACCGAGTTCCGCATGACATCCATACGCATATCCATGGAGGCCCTCATTGCATTAACGGCGTTCATGGAAAGGGAAGATAAAGCTTCATTGGTTATTGGAGGCGTGGATGGATTTGAAGAATTATTAACTTGGTTAGCCTGTGAACAATTTGCATATTTAAAATAATTTTGCTTTTTCACAAAATTTGAATTGTATCTCACTTGAGTTACACCTAATCGCATGGCAAGATTGGCTATGTTGGCAATATTAGCAGCTGAATCCGAGCCAAGACCAGGAGGAACTCCTCCTTGGCCTACCATGTTAGCTATCACTGCCATTCGGTTGGCTTGCAGCTGATCCTCCATGTTATATTGCTGGTGGAGGCCATTGTTGCCTGAAAAGTACAGAAAACCCTTCAGTTAGCTGAGTGTCTCTTAAAACACCAATTCATATTTAAAATGAGAAATTGACATTAATTTGCGTAATATTTGACGGAAATTGTAACTCACTTCGTAAGATATCACCTAATTTTGTATTGCAGTTATTATTGTTGTTGTTTAATCCGCCGGCCTCAGAACCGGCCGATGAAAGTCGTCCATTTCCGGAAGAACTATCGCTATGTGCACTTGGGGACGCGCACATTGGGGAACCGCTCGCTGAAAAAAAATCTTTTTGAAGTAGTTTCTATCTTACATGTTTATTGAAATTTTTTAAAAGTATTTAAACGATTTCAAAGTTATTCCTTGTGATCTGGGTACTGATTTGAGTGATTATGTGTGCAAATTATTAAAGAATAACATTTGAACTAATGTGGATTAAAGTGTAAATCGAAGAAATTATCAGGATAAAATGACGGAGTGAGATGAACAAGATCATAACTACAAATTATGATCAAACAAAAAGAAAATATAAAAATTAAGTGAAAAATCTTAGAAAAAAATAAATGATATTATAATGATGGCAATTATAAGAAAACTAGAAAATACTCGCATAACGTGCTTTACAAATATTTTATCACGTATTAGTCCTAAAATTTCCATAACAGAGCTAACAATAAGTAAGTCAAGTGAAGCGATAACCACAAATATTAAGAGATAAAACAAATGTTTACTTTTGAAGACAAAATAATCAATTTTAAATACATTTTCTCACTGAGTAATTCGCACTTTGTGGGTCCAACTCAAATTTAATATTTGTTGTCGCCTCTTCAATTCAAGGGGTAAAATATACATATTATATATATATACACTTTTCATATTTTTGCTTGGTTGGGCAAGTTTTGTAGTTACGATCTCGTCCATTTAATGATTTCATTTTATCTTGATAATTTCTTTACGTGATACAAGTATAATAAATTGTTGCAAATCAAATAAAACAACTTGAAGCAACAAGAATGTGAAAATAGTTTGCCGGAAAAGTATAAACCCAAAGTAATACATTGTTGGTATATAGACAGGTAGAAAATAAAACTGCTAACTTACACACGAGAACAAAAGCAAATTATTTTCCCTAAAAACAAATATGTAACAAAGTAAAAGTCATGTCACAGTAATAAATAAATTTACGTGCTGCCATACGTAAAAATACGCTAAAAATATCGGAACATTAGATTCTAAATGAAGTGGAACAGTTAGAAAAGAACATTCTGAATATTTATTGCAACATCTACCTAATGATAATTAAGAAAAAATCGTTACGTATGTAATAAAATGGTTATTTTCAAAGTATTCAATGACTGAAATATTAGAAAAAGAAATAATGAAGTATCGCTTTTTGCTTGTGCATTTTAAGATAGTAGTTAATGTATTTACCTGGTCCCATGCCAGCTAATCCCAATAAGCTGCTCCCGCCGGCCGTAGCTGAAACTGCAGCTAATAAAGTTTCTCTTTCTCGTCGTTCGGCTGCTGCGCGTGATAGAACGTACTGCGCAGCAAATTGATGTTTGGGATCCATGCGCATATGCTCCATATGGGTGAGCAGTCCTGATAATAAAGAAATGAATCACTTGCTCAACGATGATTATACACAAAATATGAGTTCGGTTTTGTTGATTGAATGTTTTCAATTCTAAAGCAGGCACATATACAGAGCCGATTCAAATCATCTCGATCGTTTTCCAGACCATTTGTCGTCGACCCTGTATACGTTCCGGTCCACATATGTGTATCGGCTGAACTGAAATAAAAATAAAACAGAAAACTCATATTCATGCACGCAATAACTACAATTTTGCATAAGTATAAACATTGTACGACATCAAAGGTGTGGAAAAAAGTGCCAAAAATTCTATGTAGTTGGTGAAACGGAACTAAAAATTAATCACTTTGGGGTTGCTTATTTTTTGCGCCCTTACACATATGTGGACTAGAAATTCGAATGACCATTTCCGTTTCTTTGACATTTTTTCGGCTTCAAATTTATTTACAGTTAATGGGAAATAGGCCATTGCGAAGCTCTAAAATGCGTTCAAAACTGGTAAATTTTCCCTAAATTTTAGGAATTGTCAGGGAGGGTTTTACTGCGAATTTGGCCGTCTTTGTCATTATATTAGAGATTCGAATGTTACGGGGTCTACAAAATGTATAGCTATGAACCAAATCGATTATACAAATAAAATTTGTGAATATTGAACCATGGTTGTGTTCTTTTTGCTTGCGTATTAATCGCTGCTTCAACGTAAATTTTGCAGTATTTACAAAAATGGAAAAGTATAAATTTAGGTCAATTGACTTATAACTTATAGATCTTCAACGATTTGTTCATCAAGTAAAAAGACTAGGAATAAGGCACTAAGCAAGAAATTAAACATTTTTGACAACTTTTCGTCATTTTGTCTGTGTAAGCTAACAGCAGTAAAGAAGGAATAGCGCCTGTGAAAATGAACAGTGAAGTTTGAATAAATTATTAATATCTGGAAGGTAATTTCAAAATTTTCGATTAAACATCCAATTTTGCGAAAAAGTTGTATGTGCCATCAGAAATGTGGATATGAACAAAATTTTGTGTATCTACACGATATTAACTCAGCGACGAAAAGAACGATTATAATTGCTGAAAAGTTGGATAAAGCAACTATATTTAGCAATATAGAAGCTGCAAGTGAGAATTTCGGTTATTTTTTTCTTGTTAAAATTATTTCTTTCCTTCTTGAAGTAATTCGCTTCTCTTTCATTAAAATAATTTAATATTGTTTTATATGTATTCGTACCGCATTATTTAGTCATTCACCCACAAAATATTCAAAAACAACTCTCAAAGATAAAATTATGAGAAAGAATATGTAAGCAACGTAAACAGACACAATGACACAAATTTGTTGCCCCGTTCACAATGTAAACAATAATAAATTAGTTTATCATTTGTTGACAATATTTTTTTGACTTTTATCTCGAAAAAATAGTAATATGGTAAAAAATGTATATAAAAATTAACTGCAATTCGACAAATTATGAATATGATGGATCTAAGACAAATTTACAAGTCCCTAAGCATGCTCAACGTCTTCCTTGTAAATTTTCCGTTGAAGTACGCAGTAAGGCATAGTTCAAGATTATTTGAAAACAAATCATACCTGTTGTTTTAAAGAGTATCTTTCACGAGCACTTTTAAGCATTTTATGCCTTATTCGATATCATTTAATAAAAAACGAACGACTTGAGTATCTCATGGTAAGATCGATTATTTACACAATTATCTCTTAGTAGGTCATTAAAACAAAATATTTCCTGGTTATTGTTAGTAGTGTATTGCAATTTAAGTTAAACATCTTATGTTATTAGTTTATGGCAACACTACGAAAAAAATGGGTATCATGGTGTGATCTTCAACCTGTTAGAACGTCAAGAAAATGGAACCTGAGATAATAGAAACGTTTTGATATTTCAGTTTTGCAGAATGCAGTATTTTCAGAATGCAGTATAACCTGAAACACTCGGTAGATCAAAGAATAAACGTTAAAGTAAAGATGACGAACTGAAAATGTTCGACAGTGTTTCAGTAAAAGCTGAATCTAAAACCTAAATGTATAATTTTCATCGTCGAAATTAATAATTAAAATTTGAACCATAGGAAAGTGGATTTGGACTCAAGCTTATTTTGAGAATGGAAAAATATATATAAAGTACATATAAAATGAAAGTTGAAACATGTAGAGAAATTATTAAATGAGAAACGCGATTCAAAATTTTATTGCCAATTCGATGACGCTTATTTCGCTGTTTGCATACAAACCAAAAACTGAAAGAGTTCTCAGAAACGATAATATTGTTAAATAAAACAGATTTTAAGATTTCAATCTTATGATTTAATATTGTAAGCATTCCTGTTTCGTTGATATCTAAAGGTGTAGGTGCACTGTGCCAAAGTAACGAAAAATTGACAAAATTAAGTCAAACGAACATATTTTGGAATATATGAATGCATATTGACCTACCAGAAAATAAATGCTATTTTTGTATAAAAAAAACTATTAGACACTTATCATATTGATGAGTCAATTTGTATACGCTTTTATTATTATTATGCTAAGTGACGATCTGTATATTCAATGCAAATTTAAGATTTTGCTTCCAATTGATTTTGAATTTATAAAATATTTTTGATAAATTTTGTTCGAAACAATGTTCGAAATTAGTCTGGAAATTATATTTAAAGTCGTCTTATTTTGCTTGTTGATTATAAAATGGAATTTGCTCCTTGGCCAGCATGATCACCGGATTTAACACAATTTGATTTTTTTCCGAGGAAATTTAAATCAGTCAGTGTTGAGAATTCAAACAATACAGATCAAATACGTAACATTTTGCGTGCTTGGGGGACAAATTTTTGAATAAGTTATAAGGAGTTCATGCATTTGAAAACTTCTAAGAACATACGGTTTAGGCCAAAGCAAGAATGGTGTACAGTTGAGCAATAGTTGAGTGTAATTTCTAATTACATTTATCAATAAATCAGTAGCAAGTCATCAGACATTATAATATTTTTTCCAGATAATTAAATCCAATTCTAATAATTGAGGAATTAAATTCGCACCAGTTATTCATTGAAAAAAAGGATGCTCAAATATTTTTATCCAGAAAAGTAGCCTTCTGTGACCATGCTTTGAAACTGATGAGTTTTTAAGACTTTTAGGCCGTCGTTGAGTAACAGCGTGTGCGTTGAAATATCCTTTGAACAAACGATGCTTTGGAAACTGAGAATATTTGTTTAGAACCTGTTTTTCTTTATTCATCTATAATATCCAAGATGATACTTCTCCCGCATTCATTTGTATTTGCGCGATTTTTAACATAAAATTTCAGATCATGTAAAACTTATTTTACGTAAACTGTTTAATATCTACTTATAAGGAATATAGATGCATTACTTGCAATTATCCATATTTGGTGTTTTACCGGAGATACGCGTAATAAATGTTAACTTTTAACCAGAAGACGATTTTAGGAAACCTTGTGGCAGATTTCTAAATATCCATTACATCAGCCATAGTTTTTGTCGTACATTTTAACTGCTAAAATTTGAAATGACAAGAAGAAGTATTTATCATTTTATTTACTTATTCGCCTTGGAATTTACACCCTGGAATATGTTTCAGAAATGTAATCCTTGGTCAATCCGGCCTGAGTTAAATTTTTATCTTTTTAGAGAGCAATATTACAAATTAGCTTAACACGATACGAAATGAGAGCGATAGGGGAAGCAAAATTAGACAAGTTTTACGCTCTATTGATGCTCCTGGTGAACAAGTGATTTTTGCGTTATGAGTAATTAGAAGTGGCCAAATTCGAGTATAACTCTCGGCTTTCGAGGCGAGAATTGAAATATACCTGATTCGTGTGTAAAAACTGCCTGGCACACCGAGCAAGGCCACATTCTGAGCGAACTTGATAGTTGTGAGGTTTCCGGATGACAGGCCAAGTGCTTTCTTAGCGAACCTTCGTTAACATAGTGTTTGCCGCAAACGGGACAAGGATGATTTGCAGTCCTTCTCTTTGCTAAATAAGGATCGATGGCGTCAACAACAGAAAGAAAAAAAGATAAAGCAAAGCACCCCAGGAACCTTGATCAAGAAGCAGTTAATGTATTATTAAGAATATTCGTTGGTTAGTCATTACGCTATCACCTAAAAATTACCGAACAGGGCGAAAACACTGCATTCATCAAATGAAAACCGACCCGAATCGTCTCCGAGGTACAGAAAACAGTGTTATCACCCTGCATATCGATATAATGGTACAACCTTTCCCCAATTTAGGGAAAATTTATGTCATCAGCAACTCTGATCAGTGAAAAAGTAGCAAATCAGATTGTGCAAGGGCAGTACTCGTCATATGAATTAACGGAAAATTATATCGATATAACCAGAAAGAATCTCAGTCAATGTGAACCGAAACTGCCAAAAATAAGCCGATAAGTGCCCTATTTGTGACAGTCGGACGAGATTATTAGAAACAGGCCAAAAATAAGCAACTAAACGGGGACAGGACCGCTTTCAAAGCAAAAAATTAAAATATGCCAAAAAACATGCTATCATGCCGCATGCAATATTGACTTGCTCTACTCCTAATTACTTTTTATACATCGCTCATTGTAATTTTGAAACACCCCTTATGGCAAATATACAGGGCGATACACATAAGTTGCGTTCGTGTTGCTCTCTTGGTACGCAGAAGTAGTTGAAACTGGATTAATTGAAACAAAAGTTGCACATTTTTATGCCAATAAATTAAAAAAAACAATTATGTTCTTAAATCCTTCAGTTTTATGTCCACCTTTATTATGAACTCTCCCATTTTCATCACATTGATAAATATATAAATTATTTAAAACATCGCTATTGCTAAGATTAGTGGTGAGAAAAATCGAATGAAATAATTCGAAGTAATCGATTATGGAATGGATTGAATTCAATAGATTATGGAATGGATCGAATTCAATAGATTAAAGTTTAAAAATGTGTCGAATCAATCATAAATTATAATAGATAAATTCACGTTGATGAAGACGGAGAGAAGAACCACATGTTTTATTGGGACATCAGCAGTATTTAGAGAGGCTGGTGACGAGAAATAAAGAAATAAACTACAAATAGTAATTTACCAATATAAAAATGACATATACCTACCTAACAGAAATGTTTCTGAGACAAAAAACTTGAATTAAATTAAAACGTAAGGTGACTGATGACAGAAATTAAAGAAGCTATCGCTGATATTTACTTGGAGCAAAAAAATCGAAAGATTTCTTCATTTTGCGTGTTTTAATGCCATCAGTAGTTTACATTTAGTGTATAGTGCCGGTTTTTTCATTGAAAAATACCTTTCAAACGCCTTTTCCTAAATGTTCCTTGCATTTAGGAGCTCGTGCCAATAGCCGTTTTGGAAGGGCACAAAACATTTAAAAATTGAAAAATTGCGATTACCATTAGAAAATATAATAAAACAAAAGCTTCTTTTCTGAAAAACATATTTATCTGTAATTTATCGATATTTTAAGCATGTAATTGTTTTAAATTCGGCAGCAGTGTAGCGCGCAAGGTAATTTTCATTTCCTAATGCGCTTTCTCTTATGGGTACCAAGATGGCAAAGCTAATAGCTCAAATTTTTGTTTTCACTCCCTGTACATTTAACTTAATGGTAATTTAGACTTAAATCCAAGAACTGGCGTTAACACTTGAATTTAATTTTTTTTTGATTTTATAAAGTTAGCTTGCAACGCAAGCCTGTAAAAAAATCAATAAATCCAAGAGTTCATTTAAAAAACTTAAAGGTTATTTTAGCAGAAATTATATTTCCCGAAAACCTCTTTTAATAGACTAAAAACTAATTCACAAAAATAAAAAATGAAACATAAAGACGAAAACACAAATCTAAGACGACTGATCGATGTTAAGACAACTGTTTTAATTAAAGAGCAAAAAAAATCAATTATCCAGTCTGTCGCACCAGCGCAAATTTGAAAGATTTTCGAGTAGATGTTTTGCCGACGTTTTGGTTTAGTGCGGTTTATTTACACACTATATATTAATTAGACTTATTTATATTAATATATAAATCATGAAATCCTAAAGCCTAACAATAGTTTTCATTAACACTTTTATTTTCCAAGTGTTTTCAATTTTTTCATTCATTATTGAAGAGGCAAAATATTTTCTATCAAAACAAAATCAGAAAATTGACCCAAATAAAAAAATCAGCAGAATTATTTATACATGGGAGCATGAGCTGTATACAGTTGTGAGGAGCTTCTGAGGTTAGTTTGGGTTAGTTTGTGTGCATTTGGCTTAGATTTGTGTCAGATGAACAAATTTTTGCAATAGTCAATTAAAAGTAAGTTAAAATCGACATAGAAAGATAAATCTTCTCACAATCTTAGCAGATGGTAGGCACCAAAGCTTGTTTTTCTGTTCTCAGAAAAGAGAAACGATTAAATTGTTTATTGTAAATTTGCTTTTGTATTTTGGTGCAAATTAATCTCAATTGTCTTAAAAAGTATTCCTTTTTCAAGCTGTTTATGTGCTTAGTTCTTTCCTCAGAGAGCCAGTATTGGTCGTTGGTCATTATTCCATTTAATAGTGTGGATGAAAGAGAAGCACAACTTACCGATGCTTTTCTAAACTGGGAAATCAGAACTAAAAAAATGACTTTTTTAAATCTGATTTTTACTTTGTTAATTTGTTCTGTATAAAATTTCCTTAGTCAATTCAAAGGAACTAAAAACGACATTTCAATTTCTATGTTTGTTTACTTAGTGCTGTAAAGAAAAAATCGACAAAGTCCTAAAAATATGAAAGAATTCATCCGAAAGAATAACTAAAAAGAAAGTTAATCCGAGAGTGATTAATTATAAATCGGGGTTCGTCTAGAGAGCACTTAAAAATATAAAAGGGAATTTTTTCATTGGGGAGCCACTCTTGGCTTGAAAGCATTTTTGTTTGATGCTTTTCGCTGATCCTCGTGTCATGTTTATTTTTTAATCGTTAGTTAAATCGTTTTGAAAGAATTATCATTAAGGGTCTCAATCCTCATTGCAGGAATTTGATTTTAGTTTCTAGCCAACTAGCTCCGCATGCGCATTAGCTATACAAACTTATATGTTTTAATTATATTCGCAATAATAATTAGGCTACTAAGCAGTGCATGCATCTACTCACATGCTAAGTGGAAATAACAATCGAAAAAGTAAACGATAAATATGAAATTAAACGTTAAAATATGTCATCAATTGCAAATGCTTACTGGCTACTCCAGACGCATTCGGATCCTTGTGAGTATGTTTCATGTGCTCCATCAAGGCTTCACCACCCAGGAACACTTTGTGACATAGAGGACATGACGTAGCATTCGGTCCACCAATCAGAGCCGCATGTTGCTGCAAACGACCAATACACTGTTGACAAAAGTTCGCGTTAATTTTGTGGGATCTAAGTCTGGCTCGATTGGAGGTGAGTTGATTTCACCGAGTAGCTTCAGGGGTTAGGAACAGGAACTTGAAAGATTTTGATTTTTTTTTAAATTGTTGCAAATTTAACATTTAACAACACACCATAAGCATTAACACTAAAGAGTGGAGCTTCGTTTTGTACCATATCTTGTCAGATTATTTGCAAATTGTTACTAATTCTGCTAGACGTTTTAATCAGCAATATCGATTGGTATCGTAAATACGCGACAGGAATTCTGAAAGTATTTGAAGAAAGTTTAATATCTGTTTTTCACTTCTAGTTGGTCGGGGTTATGTTTTTCTAATTAACATAGAGTTTAACGTTGCCAAGAAATGAGATAAAAAGAGCGGAGGTAAAATTTAATGAGTACAGAGTCGTCCCTGAATCATTTAGTACTGTTAGTTTCAATCAAGTGGAGAGTTTAATCATGTAGACTTAAATAGACCCTTACTATTTAAAAATAATTTTTGATGATTTTTCACTTGGGCTTGTTCTCAAAGGAGGCCATTTGAAAATCGACGGTTGCACATCAAGAGCAAAAATGATGAAGTAGTTTTAACTACAAATTTAATGACATTATATGTTGCAGGCTAAAATGTACACAGTTCCTACTTAATAATAAGTCTGTAAATTTTTTACAATCATTATTTACTATATGCTGGATATATTCATTTAAACCACTAAGTTTTGTAGTTTTATCTTCGAAAGTACATTAACACATTTCCTTCCGATTCTTTTCGATGTTGTAAGGAAACCTCGATTTGTGTTATATAAAGCTCTTTCTTTCACATTTATTACAGAGTGAAAAAAATCCCAAATCAAGTAAGTTCTGAAATCTGATTGATGGGCATCCGTTTTTCGAAACAACTTTAAGAGAACGATTATTAGCTAAGAATTTACCTTTAAAAATATCCATCCATCTATCAAATTTAAATTAAATCCGTGGAAAATAAGCCTCGCCGCTGCTGGCTATCTTAGCTCAGGTAATTACCTGTATTCTTTAACAGATTTGCTTGCGCATTTTTTATTAACGAGCCATATTTTCCGCTTGACGCAGAAAGAAATAAGCTTTTAATTATACGCCGTGAAAATAGCGAGATTATTCTTTGGTTCGTTTTTTTTTTTCGTATTCCGTTTTCCCAGAAAAAATTGCGTCATTTCTGCTGAGACAATTAGGCAGCCTTCAGATGGAATCGTCTGTGAAAATTGTCTGGTTTGCAAAACAGATTTATTTTCAGATTGTACATATTTCTCTGTAATCAATCTAGTTTGTCTCTAAGACTTTTGCTTTTCGTTTAATTTATTTGATGCTAAAAGTTGCATTTAAACAGCAGATTTTGGCGATTTGAAAGGATTTTGAAGAGCCGCAGTTCTCATTTAGCATCAGTATGGGAAACGTAAAGCTATTTCTTAATCTAGTGGATAATAAAAACATACTCATTCAATTAAGTATAAATCTTTAAAATTTGACATTGATCAGTTACTAGTTATCGAGATTATTTTATTTAATTATTAGCAACATTCGCTGGTCTTTAACCCCAAAAATTCGCAAGCGATAACCTTGAGAATTTTTCAAAAATTTGTGTTTGTTAAACACAAATTTGTTTAAAAATCTCATTTAATTATTCCGCCAATTGACATGAAAAAATAACACGTAGGTTATTTTATATTATATATAGCGAACAAAAAATTATGCTGTTTTTTGGGCACTTTTACATTATGGAATGCTCAATGCTAGGATGAAATGCTCAATGCTCAATGAAAATAAACACTTACAAACTAAAAAAAGTTATTAAAGTAATGAAATTTCATGTATAAACATTTTACAAAAAAAAAAAGGTGAAAGAAATAACTTTTATTAATTTTGGAACCCTTGGGGACTAAAACTTTGTAAATATGGCTCCAAAACATCTAAGTGAAGTCAAAATTTAGTAAATTGAAACCAACTTCAATAAATTGATACACATAGTCAGCAGCTGAGTCTGTGACTTAAAATATGAAAATGTTTTAAGCTCGAATCTTCATAGAGAATAATTGATGTGGTCAACGTTCGAGTAGTTTTTGTATTGATCAATTCCGTAAATTAGTGCGCTTTTAATCGAAAACCGAGTCAATAGGTCAACATAGTACATTGTTTTCGATTCTTTAATCAATCCATTTTTGAAATAAAAACTTTTACGAACTTTAAGATGACTATTTAATGATAAGTGTACTTTACCAAGATTAGCAACCAATTCATTTGCGGTATTGTTTTAAAGTAACGATTAACTTGAGGAACAAATACATTTTGCGTTAGAGAAGATAAAATCACATACATGAATATCTGGAGTTTTTTCAATATGTTAGTTTATCAGTTTTCATATAAATTTTAAAGTTTTTTGTTCCTATCTAACATTATGCTTTGGTTTCGCAATCAGTTGATTTTTTTGCTAAATTGTATTGATCTATTCAAGCTCCCGATGAGATAAGTAGGTTTTTTAAAAGATAATTATCATATTCAATAAAACTGAAGGGGTCATTTGCTTTCTTTTGAAGAAATATAAAGGGGACAGAAGAACACAATTGAAAACCTTCGTTGGTCAAAAACATAATAGCTAATTTTTGTAATTTTATTTTAGTATCAAGGGATTTTTGTGCTATTTACATATGTTTTCAATTGCATCAGAACTAAAGTTTACCTTTTACGAAAGCGTTGTATTTCTGTAAAGCATGTCAATTTTTTTTATATTGGAAGAAAAACAGTGAAAAAAGCATTTTAGCAAGAAATTTATTTTTCTAAATATATGTATATTGTTTCAGCTGTGTTAAATGAAAGAATATCAATTAACTACTAAGAATGACAAACATAGAAACGATATGCGGTCGAATACTACAGATTATCGGCATTTTAACTAAATCCTGCTCAGGTATTTAATTAATAAGCTGGATGCTGAGTAAGTTTACTTAGACTGACGATAAATATTCCATCTAACGGGGACAAATTTACTGAGATCCTTGATTGTTCGCATAAATCTTGCTATTCGAGTGGCAAATGTAAAAGTGTAATCAAAACAGCATGTAGACCGAACACGACTATAAAAAACCTGCATAAATCACCATTGAAACGTGTTAAAAAGAGATATGCACACTTGCAAGGCCGTTCAATAAAAATGATAACTAAGTTCATTCACTCGATATTTTATTGCAACCTTCCTAACCTATCTCAACAATATTCCGTGTGTACAGGGTCGGGCAAAAAACTTACGTCATTCATATTTTTATTTAAATGTAAATAATCATTGTTGTATTGCAAACCGGTCATTTTGCAGGCAGCTATATTTATTGTTATGCCAAACGATTATTCTTGGCTCTCACTTTTTAACCACATCGATTATGATTCTTCAGATTTGTAATCGTTAACGAAGGATTTTTTCCTAATATCTTTCCTCGACTGTTCATTTTTTGCATTGTGCTGGAAGATTAGGTTATCACGTGTGCCACTTTTCTAATTTAGGTTTTCATTACTCTAAATTTGAAGAATGATAACGCATTATGGATTTTTGGCTCCTTGTACAGGTGCACGTATTACTAAATTTATAATGATAATTTAACAAATAATAATAAATAAACTACAGAAATATGTGCTCTGGGATTTTTTGTCAATTCTTGTTTACTTAGTTCAGAAAAGCTCAATCTAAAAGGTTGTTAGTGCTTGTAACTCAATTGCTCTTAACTCGTATTCTTATCAGATGCGTTTATATTCCTGAATAAGAACTAATACTTGGTGTGTCTACTAAAAAAATATAATCGCGTTAAATAATAAAATGAAACGAAATGAAATAAAAATAAATGACGCCTACTATCGTATTCGAAAGTTTACAAGCAATACTTTCTTATCATTTACTGCTATAAAGCATTGACTTTTTTAAGAATGAATATTGCTATGATTTTAAAATTGAATTGAAGGATATTAAAACACTTTAAGTTGAAGTAAGCAGTAAGTGCTATTATTGTAGAACTCATCATTTTTCTGTCAAGATTCAAAAAGAGACAATCCTGAAATTAAACGTAGTCTTTTAGATAAAAGAGGCATCAACGATGGATAACTAATGTGGGTCTGATTCACGATGATACTCGAGCACCCAAGCTGAACTGGTATAATCCAAACAAAATCGCGTAATGAAAATTCAGTAATTAGTAGCCATTTTGTGGCAAAATAATATCACATATATACACAATTATGGGGTAATTATTTCAGTATCGTTCAGGGATCTTTGAGCAAGATAATTGGTAGACGCGGAATTCACACACCGCCGAAATCACTGCAGCGGAAAGATCGCGAATTTTAGCGAATTCTCTTATAAACTTATCGTATTCCATTCGCTTTTATTATCTGAGAAACGGTGACAAATTGTCCTAGTATTAACGCACGCAAATCATGCGAAAATATTTTTATTATTATTTATTATACATTTTTCAATATTAAAAACCTTTTACCGGCCAAGTGGTGGCAGGCTGATTGATAATCTACATAAAAAATGTGTTTTTATGGTTACTTTTAACTACATTCTTAATTTTTTAGTTTAAAAGTTGTGAAATGCAACACGAGATCAATGATTCTTTTTATGTGCTACAATTGTTCATTCTCTTCGTATGCGCTTGTATTGGTTATATTGTTTTTACCATTTGTTTTGTACATACAATTTATTTAGATTTTACTGTGGCAATAGAGCATATTTTTATTTGATTTTATTTGCCTAATGCTACTTTAGGCAGTTGTGGAAATGAGACCATCAATTATTTAAAAGAACTCTGTTGAAATTATCGAATAAATGCTTTTAAACGCTTTCCTCTAAGTAGCAAACGTGCTGGAACCATCGAAATTAAAATATTTGGAAAACTAGCAAATTGGTCACGAAAACGACGCTTAATTTTAAACTGCTAATTTTTACTAAACTATTTTCGA